AGCTGCAGAGGTCCCCCCAAGGAGTGAAGGGTCCCAGCCCCACAGCAGGCCTGCCAGCCTGGGGTTCCAGTGCCAGGAAGAGAAGTCCCATGACCTCTGGCTGTAAAAACCAGCGGAGTTAGAGGCTGAGGGAGGCTGAGGTTTCTGGAGTCCCTGGTGTTCTTCTTAAAGGGCCTGCACACGGACTTCCTCAGACTCACTCCCTCTGAGCCCCAGCACAGGGGCAGCAGCTCAAAAGCACCAGGGACACACAGGGAGGGACTGAAGTGTCTGGCATCAGTACCAGGGCTAGAGAGGCAGCTTTCTCTCAGACGGAGTGCTGGCAGAGACCATAGATCCTTTGATGAGCCCTCCCCCAAAGAACTGGCAGACGAGGCCATATCTGAGTCTCCATCAACCTGGCTCACACTGTTAGCTCCATCTTGGTGATTCCCTGAGACCTGTCTTGGGGGCCCACCCAAGCTGTTTCCAGTGGCTTTTCCGTCTTACCTCATGCTTCAGACTTTCCGAGAATCTCTCAAACAAGCAGTGTCTGGCCTCTGTGTGCCCCATACCTCTCGCTCAGTGGCCCCAGGCCCAGAACTAGCAGCAGTGGGCCTCAGTTTACAGCTTGGCCTTGCCTGAGCACCTCAGCCCAGAAAGTAGCAGCCATCTACAGATCACTTTGTAGCTCATGCCCGGTGGCCCCAGGCAGGACACAGATGGTGGCTGACCTTAGCCTGCATCTCCTGGGGGGCCCCAGAGCCTGCATACTGGTGGACAGCTTCAGGCCACATCAAAGTACCATCCAACCACCTCTACATCCGGCACACTCAAGGGGCAGACTCAGCGAGCACAGAGCCCTGCTGAAGTAAGTCCTGCTCCATGGAGTGGGCCCCCTGCACAGCTGATTGTCCACCGTAGTCACAGCCAGTCCTTGCAGCTGATCGGCCTGGGGATAAATCCTTCTCAGTGACATGCCAACAGCAATCAAGGCTCGATTACAACCCATGAGGTGCGGGCACACCTGGAGTGCCCTACTTGGTTGATCAGGGAGGCTAGGCTGTGCCATTGGACCCTACAGGACACCTACTACATTAGGCCACTCGACCAAGCCTGGTAGACATGGGAGCTCTACATAACACATAAAAACAAACACAGGGAGGCAGCCAAAATGAGGAGACAAAGAATCATGTCCCAAATGAAAGAACAGAAAAAAAAAAAATTTAAACAGAATGGAGACAAGCAATCTACTAGATGCAGAGTTAAAAACACTGGTTATAAAGATGCTCAATTAACTTAGTGTGAACTTCAACAAAGAGATAGGAAACATAAAACTGGAGATAGAAAACAAAAAAGAACCAGTTAGAAATAACTGAAATGAAGAACACATTATAGGGAATCAAAAGTGGAGTAGATGAAACAGAAAATCAAATTAGGAATTTGGAAGATAAGAAAGCAGAAACACCCAATCTGAACAGCAAAAAAAAAAAAAAAAATTAGGCTAGTGTAAGAAGCCTCTGGGACAACCTCAAGTGTGCCAACATTTGCATCATGGTGGTGCCAGAAGGAGAAGAGAGAGAGCAAAGAATTGAAAACCTATGTATGCAAAAACTAAAGGAGTTCCTCACCACAAAACCAGTATTACATGAAATGTTGAAGGGTCTTCTTGAAGAAGATAAAAAATATGAATAATAAAATGACAATAAATACATATTTATCAACAATTGAATCTACAAACCAAATGAACAAGCAGAACAGAAACAGGCTCATAAATACGGAGGACTTTTTGTTGGTTGCCAGATGGGTGGAGGCTGTGGGATGGGCAAAAAAGGTGAAGGGATTAAGAAAGACAAATTGGTGGTTAGACTGATGAACCTCAAAGGGAACGGGGGAGGGAGGGCGGGATGAGATAAACCAAAGGACTTAGATGCATATATGCATAACCAGTGGATGCAGACAACAGTGTGGGGAAGTCAGGAGGGGGGCAGGAGTGGGGAGGAGGAGGTCAATAATGGGGGGGAACAAAGGTTAAAGACAGAGAGAATCTCAAAAGCAGCAAGAGAAAAGCAGTTAGTTACCAACAAGAGAGCGCCATAAGACTGTCAGCTGATTTTTCAACAGAAACTTTGCAAGCCAGAAGGGATTGGCAAGAAATATTCAAAGTGATGAAAAGCAAGGACCTACAACCAAGATTACTCTATCCTGCAAAGCTACCATTTAGAATCAAAAGACAGATAAAGAGCTTCCCAGATAAGAAAAAGCCTAAGTAGTTCATCACCACCAAACCAGTATTCCATAAAATGTTTATGAAGAAGGAGAAAAAAGATCAAATATGAATAATAAAATGGCAACAATTGAATCTGAAAAACAAATGAACAAGCAGAACAGAAACAGATTCATAGATACAGAGAACATTTGGATATTGCCAGATGGGAGGATGGTTGAGGGGATGGGTAAAAAAGGTGAAGGGATTAAGAAGTACAAAGTGGTAGTCACGGAATAGTCTCGGGGATGTAAAGTGTAGCACAGGGAATATAGTCACTAATATTGCAGTAACTATGTATGGTGTCAGGTGGGTACACGATTTATTTGAATGATCACTTAGTAAGTTATATAATGTCTAATCATTGGGTTGTACATCTGAAATTAATATACTATTGTATGTCAACTACAATTGAAAAATAAAAAATAATTAAAAAGAAAAGAAATTGCCCTAGCCGGTTTGGCTCAGCAGTTGAACATCGGCCTGCGGACCAGAGAGTCCTGGGTTCAGTGCCCGCCATGGGCACATACCACAAAAAAAAAAGAAAGGAAGGAAGGAAGCAAGGAAGGAAGGAAGGAAGGAAGGAAGGAAGGAAGAAAGAAAGAAAGAAAGAAAGAAAGAAAGAAAGAAAGAAAGAAAATTTTAAAAAAGAAAAGAAAGAAATTGTTTATATTGGAAAAGCATGCTCTGACCCAAGAGTGAATTTAGTTAGAAATGTAAACAGTCAACTTGGGAAAAACAGATGTCCATTTTGGATAATAATGGACTTTAGAAAGCAAATTTTATTTACTGGTATTCAGAGTCTATTAAATTGTAAATTTTGGAAAAGTCAAATAAGCACAATACTAAATTAAAGCAATAATAAATAATAATAAATAAAAAAACAGTGATGATAATTGATGTCAAAGTTTTGAGAGCCTAAAATTAAAAAGAACATAGAAGAATAAGCCAATATAATAGAAGTAACAATGAATGCAACTTTAGCATTTATAAAGAGCAAAACTGCTTAACTCAAGAATGTCTACAAAGACCTATTGTAAGTTGGAAGGACTCAAATTCCATTGCAACAAATGTTACAGCACAATGTTACCTAAAAATGTGCTCATTGTCAGCAAAGAGCTATTTGCTTCAAGCAAGGATCTCTATAAGGTTTGCACCATTTTCCAATGTGGTTAAAATAAACCTGACGATCTTACTGGTGTATGGCCGGCAGGACAGGATTTAAAGGGAGGTTGTAGCCACCCATGAAGTGTGAATGCCAGTTAACTGCACAGTTCAGCCTGCACAGTATTGGCTTCACCCTGTTTGAAAGATTATTTAATATAACCAACAATATTTTAAGATGAGATTGCATGTGCCCTGGCTGGTTTGGCTCAGTGATTAGAGCATCAGCCCGTGGACCAGGGAGTCTCGGGTTCAGTTCCTGCTAAGGGCACGTACCTTGGTTGCAGTTTGTCCCCGGCCCTGGTTGGTTGTGTGGGTGGCAACCACTTGATGTGTCTCTCACGCATCGATGTTTCTCTCTGTCTTCCTCCCTCTCTCCCTCCCACTCTATCTATAAATGCAATGTGTGTGTGTGTGTGTGTGTGTGTGTGTGTGTATCCTCAGGGGAGGATAAAAAAAATAAAATAAAATGAGATTGAATGAAGCAAGGCTCAGAACAGTGTGTCTCATATGCTACCACCTGTGTTACAAAGAGAAAAAAGATGTACTTGAACTTGCTTGTATATATGCTGCAAACATATTAGAAAGAGAGAACTATAAACTTGTCTGAGTCTTGCTTTTCTATCCTGAGACTACTAAGTCCTCCTGCTTTGAGTAAAGAGAACAAGACCTGGCCGGGCTATGAGACCTTTCTCATGTCTTAATGCACAGAACCCGACCCCAGAGAGGGGTGTTGATAATTTACATCCACACAGCACTTACAGAGGTTTTAGTTCAGAAACAACTCCTCCATTTGTTACAAACCTAGTATCAAAGAACACTAGCGCTGAGTAGTAGCTGCTATCAAGAGTAGATGGGCCCTGGCCGGTTTGGCTCAGCAGTTAGAGCATCGGCCTGTGGTCCAGAGAGACCTGGGTTCAGTTCCCACTAAGGGCACGTACCTCGGTTGCGGTTTGTGTCCGGCCCTGGTTGGTCGTGCAGGTGGCAGCCACTCGATGTGTACCTTTCACATTGATGTGTGTGTGTGTGTCTCTCTCTCTCTTCCTCTCTCTCCCTCCCGCTCTATCTGAACAAAAAATGAAAAAATGTCCTTGGGTGAGGATAAAAAAAAAAAAGAGTAGATGGAAGTCTGGCTGGTGTGGCTCAGTGGTTGAACATTGATCCTGCACCAAGAGGTCTCCAGTTCAATTCCCGGTCAGGACACATACCCAGGTTGTGAGCCCGATCCCCAGTGGAGGGCATGCAAGAGGCGACCAGTTGATGTTCTCTCTCATCCATGTTTCTTTAAAATTTTTTTTATCCTCACCTAAGGACATTTTTCCATTTTTTGTTCAGATAGAGTGGGAGGGAGGGAGAGGAAGAGAGAGAGAGAGAAACATCGACGTGAAAGGGACACATCGACTGGCTGCCACCCGCGTGACCCAACCAGGGCCGGGGACAAACTGCAACCAAGGTACATGCCTTTAGCAGGAACCGATGCTCTAACCGCTGAGCCAAACAGGCCAGGGCTCATCCATGTTTCTATCTCTCTCTCCCTCTTCCTTCCTCTCTCTCTAAGATCAATAAAAAGTAAAAGAGTAGAGGGCAGTACCGATGTCAGTGTGATAGTCCCTGAGGGTGTTGCAGTCGTACATCTCCAGTCCCCTTGGGGTCCGGAGGCAGAAGACACTCACGGGGAAGCCACATCTCAGGGAGATCAGTGTTCTCAGCTCAGACACTTTTTTACCAAGAAGGGCCGTGCTCTCCATGATCGACATCGTCTCTTGGGTAACAGCACTGAACAGGTAGAGAGCGGGCTTCTCTTCGTCCTGCGGGGAGGGAAGAGGAGGGGACTCAGGAATAGGCGCCAGCTAGAGGCTGGGACGGACAAATATTTCGGAGGGTGGCTTTCTATAGCTAAGGATGAAAGGGAAGGTCAGTTAAGTCTCCTGACTGCCGGTCTGAGCCTTGCTCTTCTGTCTGAGGATATGAAGGGGTCCCCCTCCTTCGAGTCAAGTGAAGGCGACTTGGCGGGGCTTTGAGACCCCTCCTACTTCTTCCTCTACTGGCCCAGCTACAAGGTGGTGACCATTTACGTCCGTGCTGTGCTGAAAGAGGTGTTAGTTTCAAAACGACTCCTCCATCACGCTGCACTTGAATTTGGAAACGCTATGGATTCTAAACTTCCTTTAAAAAATCCTTTCCAGCCCGGCCAGTGTGGCTCAGTGGGTTGAGTGACGTCCCCTGGACCGAGAGGTCCTGGTTCGTTCCTATCAGGGCACATGCCCAGGTTTCCGCCTGGTCCCCAGTAGGGGGCGTGCAAGAGGCAGCCATCTCTCTTACATGGATGTTTCTCTCTCTCCCTTCCTCTGTATCTAAAAAATTAGTAAAAACGGATTTTTAAAACATCCCTTCTGTGAGGTTATCTCTGGGGAGTGGAACTGAGTTCAGGGTGAGAGGGGAGGTTTGCTCCTCATTTTATGCTCTTTATTGTCTGTATCACTCAACCTAAAAAATGTAGTCATGAGCATTTATATGTATTATTTTTAAAAGGAAGTGCTAAATATAAGTGAAAAGAGCTTCCTTTATGTTGTAATCTTAATAGGAAAGCAAGTGGAACTCGGTGTCTGAACTAGAGTTAAGAATAGAAATTGGGGGAAGTACTAATCCTTCTGTGAGCAGCAGTTAAATCAAGCCGAACCCGAACTGGAAACACAGCAAATAGGGAACACGGGAAAGTGGTGGGAGGGAAATGTTTTTAACATTTCCACTTTTCTAACAACAGCAGCAACACATGAAACTGGCTCTTCTTCCTCTTTAGCAGAGTCAGGAATCGGGGTCTTCAGGTTTCTGTTGGCCTGGCAGACAGGGGCACAGGCTGCACTGGGTGCCCTGGTGACCCCGCTGCTCTGCCCGAGTGGCCTTGAGCAAAACCCAGAAGCGGGCAACCGGCCTCCAGTTTCCTCGAGGCCGCTCCGGCCAGTCGGGGCTCTCCCTGTTCCCCACCCCCTTTCTCCCATCAAAATCCATCTCCGGCTTCTCCAGGGGCCTCCCTGCTCCAGGCTTATAATGCATTCGGTGGTTTCCGCCCCCCAGATAACACATCGCCACCATCTAATCAACGTGCCAACCTCTTTTTTTTTTTTTTTTTATCCTCACCTGAGGACATTTTTCCATTTTTTGTTCAGGTAGAGTGGGAGGGAGAGAGAGGAAGAGAGAGAGAGAGAGAGAAACATCGACGTGAAAGGGACACATCGAGTGGCCGCCACCCGCACAACCGACCAGGGCCGGGGACAAACTGCAACCAAGGTACGCGCCCTTAGCGGGAACCGAATCCGGGTCTCTCCGGACCGCAGGCCGACGCTCTAACCGCTGAGCCAAACCGGCCAGGGCCAACCTCTTTGTAAGGGCCTTTCAGGAGCTATGTTCTCCACGGACGCTTAGGCTGCGATGCTTCAATCTAGGGTCCATTTTCGTGACTCATTTCACCCGGAGCCTCAGACACCCAGCAAGCGGAGCTGCTCCCGGAGTCTTCAGTATTTGGAACGATCTTTTTTAATGGATTCTCACAAATGCTCTCAATAAAGATTCAGAGGACACAGGACTCGCCCTCTCCCTCTCACCATGCTCTTGCGTTGCCACGCTGCATCAAAGCAAGTGTCTGCCCAGCCTAATGCATGCGACATTTATGGGCAGGAAGGACTCCTGTGAAAACTGAATCCTATTGTAGAACTGTGCACTTGAAACCTATACACTTCTGCCCCTGCCGGTTTGGCTCAGCGGTTGGAGCGCCGGCCTGCGGACCAGAGTCCTGGGTTCGGTTCCCACTAGGGACACATACCAAAAAAAAAAAGAAACCTATATACTTTTATTAGCCAATGTCACTCCCATAAATGTAATAAAAAATTTAAAAACGGAATAAAACGATAAAAGAGAAAAACTATATTTGATATCATTGCTGTTCCTTATTTCTTTTATGATTACTCTGATTTCTCTTCAGCCCTTGGTGTGGGTACTAATTTCTGTTTAGACTTAAAAGGGTAAATGTACGAGCAAAATGGCAAAGGCCCAAGTCACTCTTAACAGCTAACTAGCTCCTATATAATGTTAGAGAAATAAATATGAAAGATGCTTCTCAGAATACAAATAACCATATATTTATATATATATGTAAAAATAAATATCTATAACCTATTTTATACAAATAGCTGCGAGACAAGTAATACAAAGAAGAATTGTGAAACATCTGGCAATCTTTAGACAAGAATCAAAACTGCAAAGAAGAGCCCTAGCCGGTTTGGCTCAGCGGTTAGAGCGTCGGCCTGCGGTCCTGAGAGACCTGGGTTCGGTTCCCGCTAAGGGCATGTACCTCGGTTGCAGTTTGTCCCCGGCCCTGGTTGGTCGTGCGGGTGGCAGCCACTCGATGTGTCCCTTTCACATCGATGTTTCCCTCTCTCTCTCTTCCTCTCTCTCCCTCCCACTCTGTCTGTACAAAAAATGGAAAAATGTCCTCGGATGAGGATTAAAAAATAATAATAAAAAAAAAAATAAAAAAAAAAAACTGCAAAGAAGAAAATATTATCAATGAAGCCAGGTTCTTACGTCTCAAGAAGATTAACACCTACAGAACTTGTTTTTTCTTTTTTTGGCAACCAAGAACTTCCCAGGCCTGTTCAATTCATAATGTAACTGGAACATACTTCCCAGTGCACTGTTTCAACTCTCTGTATCCACCATTTTATAAAGCTTGTTTTTGTGGGAAAAACCCATTTTTTTTTTTTTTTATCCTCATCCGAGGACATTTTTCCATTTTTTGTACAGACAGAGTGGGAGGGAGAGAGAGGAAGAGAGAGAGAGGGAAACATCGACGTGAAAGGGACACATCGAGTGGCTGCCACCCGCACGACCAACCAGGGCCGGGGACAAACTGCAACCGAGGTACGCGCCCTCAGCGGGAACCGAACCCGGGTCTCTCAGGACCACAGGCCGACGCTCTAACCGCTGAGCCAAACCGGCCAGGGCCAACCTCTTTGTAAGGGCCTTTCAGGAGCTATGTTCTCCACGGACGCTTAGGCTGCGATGCTTCAGTCTAGGGTCCGTTTTAGTGACTCATTTCACCCGGAGCCTCAGACACCCAGCAAGCGGAGCTGCTCCCAGAGTCTTCAGTATTTGGAACAATCTTTCTTAATGGATTCTCACAAATGCTCTCAATAAAGATTCAGAGGACACAGGACTCGCCCTCTCCCTCTCACCATGCTCTTGCGTCGCCACGGCTGCATCAAAGCAAGTGTCTGCCCAGCCTAATGCATGCGACATTTATGGGCAGGAAGGACTCCTGTGAAAACTGAATCCTATTGTAGAACCTTGCACTTGAAACCTATACACCTCTGCCCCGGCCGGTTTGGCTCAGCGGTTGGAGCGCCGGCCTGCGGACCAGAGTCCTGGGTTCGGTTCCCACTAGGGACACATACCAAAAAAAAAAAGAAACCTATATACTTTTATTAGCCAATGTCACTCCCATAAATGTAATAAAAAATTTAAAAATGGAATAAAAAGATAAAAGAGAAAAACTATATTTGATATCATTGCTGTTCCTTATTTCTTTTATGATTACTCTGATTTCTCTTCAGCCCTTGGTGTGGGTACTAATTTCTGTTTAGACTTAAAAGGGTAAATGTACGAGCAAAATGGCAAAGGCCCAAGTCACTCTTAACAGCTAACTAGCTCCTATATAATGTTAGAGAAATAAATATGAAAGATGCTTCTCAGAATACAAATAACCATATATTTATATATATGTAAAAATAAATATCTATAACCTATTTGTATACAAATAGCTGTGAGACAAGTAATACAAAGAAGAATTGTGAAACATCTGGCAATCTTTAGACAAGAATCAAAACTGCAAAGAAGAGCCCTAGCCGGTTTGGCTCAGCGGTTAGAGCGTCGGCCTGCGGTCCTGAGAGACCTGGGTTCGGTTCCCGCTAAGGGCATGTACCTCGGTTGCAGTTTGTCCCCGGCCCTGGTTGGTCGTGCGGGTGGCAGCCACTCGATGTGTCCCTTTCACATCGATGTTTCCCTCTCTCTCTCTTCCTCTCTCTCCCTCCCACTCTGTCTGTACAAAAAATGGAAAAATGTCCTCGGATGAGGATTAAAAAATAATAATAAAAAAAAAAAACAAAAAAAAAAAACTGCAAAGAAGAAAATATTATCAATGAAGCCAGGTTCTTACGTCTCAAGAAGATTAACACCTACAGAACTTGTTTTTTCTTTTTTTGGCAACCAAGAACTTCCCAGGCCTGTTCAATTCATAATGTAACTGGAACATACTTCCCAGTGCACTGTTTCAACTCTCTGTATCCACCATTTTATAAAGCTTGTTTTTGTGGGAAAAACCCATTTTTTTTTTTTTTATCCTCATCCGAGGACATTTTTCCATTTTTTGTACAGACAGAGTGGGAGGGAGAGAGAGGAAGAGAGAGAGAGGGAAACATCGACGTGAAAGGGACACATCGAGTGGCTGCCACCCGCACGACCAACCAGGGCCGGGGACAAACTGCAACCGAGGTACATGCCCTTAGCGGGAACCGAACCTGGGTCCCTCCAGACCGCAGGCGGACGCTCTAACCGCTGAGCCAAACCGGCCAGGGCTGGCAAAACCCATTTTAAGTTAAAAACACAGGTTAGAGACACTTCTTCACGGTGGTTATATGGAGGGGAGCAGCTAGATGCTAATTCATAGGGATTTGCTAACTCACCTTATCTACATAAGAGAAAGACTCTCTCTATCTAGTTGATACCCTTCCCCAAATATTCTGAATGAGGGAAC